TTCCTGGATCTGAAGGCCTCTATCTCTTCCCTGTACCTGGCAAGTTTTTGTCATTATTTCCGTGAATAGGCTTTCAATGCCTTTTCCTTTTTCCTCCACTTCTAGAATACTCATGATTTGGATGTTTGTGAGCTTCAGGAAACAATTCTTTTTTCCTATTTTTTGTATGCCCAGGTTAGTTCAAAAACACCATCACTGAGGTCTTAAATTCTTTCTTGTGCTTTCTCTAGCCTGCTGCTCAAGCTTTCTGTTCTGTTTTGTATTTCATTGAGTGAATCCTTCAGTTCTAGGAGTTCTGTTACATTCTTTTTTAAGGTATTAGTTTCTTTGTAAATTTCCTCCTTCATATCCTGGATATTTTTTTTTCTTTTTCATTGTGTTCTCTAATTGATTCTTCCCTTATCTCTTTTAGTTTTCCTAATTTCAGTGCTAGGAATTCCTTTTTGGAGATCTCAAGGGTTTCTTTCTCTGTGGGGTCTTGTACTTAAGAATTACCATATTCCTTCAGTGGTGTCATATTTTCTTGTTTATTTGTAGTTGTAGTATTTTTTTTTTTTTGATGTTTAGTCATCTGGTAAGACTCTTGTTTCTTCTATTATTTTTGAGTGGGCTATGAGGTGTAAGATTTCCTTCTCTACTTTTAGAGAAGGTGACTCTGCTGGTGACTCTACTTGCATAAGTGCAGTTGAATGTGCAGTAGGCTGCCTCGGTTCCTGTTCGGTTGGTGTGTGGGCCTCTCAAGGGCTCAGGTGTGGGCTGATGGCTGTGTCGGTGTTGGTGTGTGGGACAGTGCTCCCCTGGGTTCCTGCTCAGTCACTGGATGGGCCCCTTTGGGGCTCTGGCAGGTGTGGTTGGTCCTGAGGCTGTATTGGGGTTAGCATGTGGGACCAGTGCTCACCTGGGTGCCTGCTCCTCTTTTAGGTTTTTAACCTAATGTTAGATACCCAAATGTATTAGAGTTAATTGTGAATTTCTAATAATATTTACTTACATATTTCAATATCTCATGAATCTATATACTTTCTTACTTTGATGATTTTTATAGAATGGTCCTGGTCAAAGAGAGCTCAAAAAATAATATTTGGTATTGCTGATTATTGAAGTAGCTCTCCTAATTATTGGAACATAGTAAGATAAAGAAAAAATAGTGGGGAAGATGTGAGAAATATATAGCTAATTAATTTATTTAAAAGTGGTATTTTAGGGGGCTGGCCGGTTAGCTTAGTTAGTTAGATCACGGTGTTGTAACACCAAAGTCAAAGGTTTGGATCCCCATACTGGCCAACAACCATAAATAAATAAATAAATAAAAATAAATAAATAAATAAAAATAATAAATGTGATTTTTTTTCAAAGCAAAATTTTTAAAAATTGGTTAAAAGTATAAAACTGTACATACCTTACAAAAAAGCATTGCAAGTATCAGGACATTCTGCTTGAGAATTCTTTAATTAGTTTATACAATATGACAAATATGGTTTTATGCATAAAAAGTAATATGAGTATGCAGGTATAAATGTATAATGTATACAGAAATGTGTAGAATATGATTATAAAAATGCAAGTATAGTTTACAATATTTATAATTCTACAGAAGATAAGGAGAGAGAGATGCATATATGCTTGAAAAAGTCAAATATATAAAAGCAAAGATATAAAGGGCTAAGAATTATAACATTTGAGCTCACTATAGTTATAAATTGTACTTGTATTT